ACTAAAAAAAAAAAACAACCCACTGACTGGCTCCTCCCACCTGATGTGTGCTCGTGTTACTGGTGCTCTCTGGACCAATCGGAGGCCTCGGAGCAGCGGGAGCGGCGGCCATCGCTGCGGTACGCCGTGTTCGTCTCCTTTTTTTTTTTTTTTTAAACTCTCCCTCCCCCCGACGGAGAAAAAAAAAAAAAACGGCAGAACTCTTCTTCTTCTTCTTTTTTCCTCCAGTTAAAACACTAAATGTCCCGTTATTTATTCTCTCTGGAGCGCGGGAGGTCAAAGGTCAACCGCTGCTGTCCACGATGGGAAGTGATGTAATCAGCAGCCGCTTAGCGTAGCTTCACTTAGCTTCACTCAACAAAACATCTCACTCCTCCAACATTAGTCAACAAATTTCAACGTGAAACCAAAATTCAAGAAAAGAAGGAAATAATCTGTGTTTTTATTTGGAGAATTTTAGCCAATTAGCAAACATTTCAGTTCAAAGGACGCATTTATTTCAAGGATCTAAAGCAAATTATCGAGACATACATTTTTATGCTTAGATTAACTACCCAAGGCTAAATTTAAAATCAACTAGCCAAAAAAATAGGTAGCCTTTGATAAGACAGAGGCTAGGCTAAGCTAGACTCGGCTAAACGTAGCCAGGCTGACTTGGACTAAGCTAAACAAGGCTAGGCTAAGCTAGACTCTGGTAAACGTAGCCAGGCTAACTTGGACTAAGCTAAACAAGGCTAGGCTAAGCTAGACTCGGGTTAACGTAGCCAGGCTAACTTGGACTAAGCTATACAAGGCTAGGCTAAGGTAGACTCTGGTAAATGTAGCTAGGCTAACTTGGACTTAGCTAAACCTTAGACTATGCTAAACAAAGCTATGTTAAGATAGACTCTGGTTAACGTAGCCAGGCTAATTTGGACTAAGTTAGACTCTGGTTAACGTAGCCAGGCTAACTTGGACTAAGCTAAACCTTAGATTAAGCTAAACAAAGCTAGGTTAAGCTAGACTCCGGTAAACGTAGCCAGGCTAACTTGGACTAAACAACAAGGCTATGCTAAAATGGAGTAAAGTGAGATGACTAATGCTAAGCACTCCTAGCCTTTGCTAAGCTAAACGGTGGCTACGCTAAGCTAGGCTGGCTGGGGCCCATCGTGGGGCGGTTCCCCCCCCCCGACCGGCCCGTGGAGCTCCCGGTACTGGTTCTGGTTCTGGTTCTCTGTTGTTGGTGGAGCGTTAGCGGATAAGCTACGGTACTCAGATTTATTATCTACCAAATATTTAAATGCCAAATAGATTCTCCCGCTCCGTCTGTCCGCCAGCAACCATCATGTGACTGGCTGTAAATGTAAAGTTTTGATACTAACTCACCTCTCATGTTCTCCAGTGTTTTCATTCTTCCCCTCTAGATCAACCCCCCCCCCCTTTATTTTTTAATTTTTTTCTTTTTTGTAATAATT